AAATTTTAAATGTAAAATCGATAGAAAATTTAATAAATGATTGTTTTAACAACAACAACAACAACCACAACAACTAAAACAACAACAACCACAACAACTACTACAACAAAAGCTACAACAACTACAACAACTAAAACAACAACAACAACCACAACAACTAAAACAACAACAACAACAACAACCACAACAACTACTACAACAAAAGCTACAACAACTACAACTACAACAACAACAACCACAACTACTACAACAAAAGCTACAACAACTACAACAACAACCACAACAACTACTACAACAAAAGCTACAACAACTAAAACAACAACAACTAACACAACAACAACAACAACAACTAAAACAACAACAACTACTACAACCACAACAGCCACAACAACAACAACAACAATCATATTTTAAACATTCTATTTTCTTTACATTTAAATATTATTTTCAGACATTTTTTTGGTGTGTTGTATGCAATTAATAAAAAAATAATTTTAATTAATAATAATTTTGTAAATTATTATTAACCTTACAATCGAAAACGAAAAATTTATTATTATTATTATTATTATTAAAGGATAATTAATTATCATTTTTAAAAATGTAAATTATGTTTAATTAATGTAACACCCCCCCAAAAAATAAAAAATAATAAAAAAAAATAAAACTTTTTTATTTCTCATAAAACTTTATTTTTCATAAAACTTTTTTACTTTTTTTTTCTTTCTTGTAATTTATGTAAATTCATAATTATATTCATAAATTTTTATTTATGAAATTATAAAAATAAATAAATTAATAAAAAAAAAAAAACAAAATCATAACTTTTTTTTTTTAAAAAAAAAATAAATAAATAAAAACACTCAATTAATTTTTTCTGATTTTTCCCGTCAAAATATTATTTTAAAATGGCGTACAAAAAAAAAATAAAAGGAAAATTTCTTTTAATACATAATAATAATAATAATAAATAAATAAATAAATAAAATGTTTTATTTATCTTGGTAAAAAAAATTTTTTTTTTTTTTATATTTGTTAAATGTAACTTGCATTACATCTCACACATTAAGCAGTGACACTGCATAATTTAAAGTTTTCAAAAAAAAAACGTGAAAAAAGAAAAACACGGAAAAGTTATTCTAATGATACGTCAAAATGAAATAATATCAGAAAATAAAAATGTCACAAAATAATGTTTTGTTTAAAACGAATTTACGTCGTGTTTTCCTTTTTTTTTTTTTTTTGAATTTAACCAAAACATAGTTTTCCTTTTACGCCTTTTCTGTTCCCTTTTTTTCCTTTTTTTCCTTTTTTCCTTTTTTTTTTTTTAACTAAAAGGCAAAACGTGTGACGTAATAATTTTATCATTTTTTTTTTGAACATGTATTAAATTATTTATAATATTCCGATTTTAAAACGTCAGCAAAATCTCGATTTTCCCCATTTTCGGGGGGGGGGGAGGGCGGAAATTTAAAAAAAATAATCTTTCTTTTTTTTTTCCTTTTGTAATTAAATAGTAGTTTTATCGCATGAATTGCTTGCGAAAAGGTTTTTTTTCAACCTTTTTTTTTTTGCTTTTGATAACATTAAAAAAAAAAAGATGAAAAGTAATTTAATTTAATTTTGAAAAGTTTTTTTTTTTCCCATCATAAAATACGATGTTACGTACAAGCAATAGGTCATCAAAATTATACAATTTTTTTTT